TGTTAAAATTCTGCAATCAACTGATAAAACCGGTACAATGCTGAGCGAGACGATAACTGCTTCGAGGCTTCACGAGGCAGTCGCGCGTGCGTCGTATCAGCCAATGAAATGACTGAAATAGACGGTGTGAAGCGTCTTGGCATGCGCGTGATCCTAGGCCAACCAGTGTTTTAATTGTGTCAAATCGAGTGGCAAGTCGAAATTGTCTGTTTTACTCAGATTTTGAATCCGATGTTTTTTCGAATTTACTCAGCCCTTCGTGTAATGGATAAATGGTTAAAGAAGTCAGTTGAAGTTGTGACAATGAGTCTTCAGTGAATCAAAACGAAGAAAAGTCAGGTCAATCAAAACGAAGAAAAGTGGTGAGAAAGTATGATTCCAAGTACTTAGAAATGGGATTTACATGGAATGGAGATGAAGAAGATCCACGACCACTATGTGTTATTTGTTGTGATCAACTTGCAAACGAGAGCATGTGCCCAAACAAATTGCGTCGCCATATTGAGACGAAGCATCCCGAGTTGAAAGACAAACCCCTCGAATTTTTTGAAAGGATGCTAAGCAAGTTGAAGACAGGACAGAGCATTATGCAACGTTACACCAAAGTTAATGAAAAATCTTTGTACGTGTCCTACCTGATCAGTTTGAGAATTGCGAAAGCTGGTTTGCCACATACAGTTGGAGAGACTTTAGTTCTTCCAGCTATAAAAGATACAGTTAAAGTTTTCTTTGGTGATAAGAGTGAACAAGAAATTGAAACAATTCCTATTTCTAATAACACAACAGTCACGCATAGGATCGATGAAATGTCTCGATGGATAGAAAATCAGCTAGTTCAAAGAGTTCGTGAAAGTACAATTTTCTTCTTACAACTAGATGAATCTACGGACGTACAAGGTCTGTGCCAGGTACTTGTTTTTGTGCGTTATATATGGAACTCCAAACCTCATGAAGATATGTTGTGCTGTGAACCAGTCAGTCGAAGTACTAGCAATGATATTTTTAAGACTGTTGATACTTATGTCAAAACAAAAGGTCTTGATTGGAATAAATGTGTCGGAATATGTACGGACAAGGCACGGGCTATGTGTGGTAAAAACAGTGGTCTGGTGACCAGAATACTTGAACTTAATCCAAACACATCATGGACTCACTGCAACCTTCACAGAGCAGCGTTAGTATC